GACCAATAATAAAAACACTGTAAATCCACGCGTCAGTTTTGTAATATAAGAAATAATAATAAATTATGTTCACTAATTAAACGACTCGTGTCTCCGGACCTACTTTCGTTCCTTGGGATCGGCTGAAATATACATATATCCGCGCGAATACTGCCGTATGGGAAAACAGGGGTCGTTTTAATCTAATTATTATCTGGATTAATCAATAATTCTGTTAGTTCCTAAAAATGTAAACTGACTTCAAAATCTAAGACAATATATTTAACCTGCAATATATTTAAGGCTTTCTTTTTTTATTACATCAAATTAAATTCAACTCCTCCATTTAACACTCATTTAAAAACTTTAATCCATCTTCAGTTAGGGAATATTGTATACTTATACAATATTTCCAACATATATCTACATTGAAAGATATATAATACAATAATAAATGGTACATTATTTTCACATGTAATAATTCATTTACCTGAAGAAGTTAAGCAACATTGTGCACCATTAACTTACATTATAGCATAAAACAGATAGATAAAGACGAGCGCCAAAGAAAAACCCCAAGGATGAGATAAGTAAACGTATACATTCAACGCTCGTGCAGTGATTACATTATCAGAATTGTAGTATCATTTTTCGTAAATTGCATATTGATTGCATTGAAGAATTTAACGAGGATTTAACGAAGATTTGGCTGTCAGTCTGTGTTCCGTCTCGGTTCGAATTTTCCATCATTATAAAATTTTTTGAACAGAAATTTTTTTCTGTCGGGTGAATTACGCACTTGTGCTTCGTATTCCTCTACCCAATTTCGGTATCTTTCAAATCAATTTTATGATCTAATTATTATCCTTTTACGTCTACCTTTTATACATGTTGAAAGTCTGGAAATAGAATGGCCACATTTACCCTATGTGTAGGGCCACACAAAAGAAGAAGATCGATTCTGAAAGAATTGAGGCGTTGTATTCTTGATTTTTGACCTGTCATTTCATAACGACTGATATTTATTACACCTTATGCCTATTAAAACTTTTTCAACTCTCATGTAGAAACTATAAAACTATCGAATGACATAGTTAATTTTTCTGTACGCTTGTAGGCAATTTTGAACCAACTCCTTTCTACTTGCGATGTCTATAAGTAAGTACGTTGTTTCAGAGGCAATGTCAGATCTTGTGATTTGCAAATTAAGCCATTGCTGCGCAACAGTTGCTGGTGGCATGAATATGATTCTGCTGTGTGAAAAAGTCACGAAAGACGATATACAAGTAAGATTTTTTGAGGAGCAAAATGGGCAATTAGTCTGGGAAGGATATGGCGATTTTCACCCATCGCATGTACATAAACAAGTAAGTGAACAAGAATATACCCAGTAAGCAAATTGATAGCAAATTGTCGCCAAGTTGGCATCAAACTCGCTCAAAGATTGGCGACAAATTCAGTGCTGTCTGTGTCAGCAATAGGATCGTGTTTTGCTAGCAAAGCTTGCGTACATAACTATACAGCAAATAGTCACTATAAACTGGGCAAGATTTGCGTAGGGCTATCTGACAACAAATTGTCAGTAAAAACTACGCAAGCTTTGTATAACATTGTTTAACGACAAATTGACGGTAAGTATCGAGCAAGTTTTGCGTAACGTAGCCTGACGACAAATTATGACGTAATTGATATTTAAAAAATTTTTGAAAATAACGTTTAATTTTATTTTTTTTCAATTTTATTTTAAAGATATAATTTTAAACTGTTTTATTACTAAGAATTAATACTTTACATTAAAGCATTCGATTTCGAGACTATTTTAATCTAAAGATATCACAATTAGTATCTTTGCCCTTGTTCCAGCGACTTCCTTGTTACACCATTTTTCTAAGTACTTTATATGTTCATTGTTAGCTTCTTTGATGCAAAAACATTATCATTCATATCTTGTGATAAGTGCACACATGAATAACGCATAAATAATTATGACATGTTTAAGCTTCGATTAGATATTGATTACGTTGGCGTATGTTTCTTATGCTTGCGCAACGGAACGGGGAATTACAAGAGCGATTATACACAGGAGTTATTACACGACAAGAATTAAGATAAAGCAATATATTTTTACAAGCGATACACATCGAGCAAATACACGTCGAGTGCAACCGATGATGCGAGTACAAGGAGTGCTGCAGATAGCCAAAACAAAATATCGTGGTCTCACAATAGCACAGCCCGCGCTGGATAAACATTCAAACTATACATAAGCGCCATTCATTCCAACAGATTATATAGAAAGCTTAATAGATTTGAAATGTTAAAAATAAATACCAACAAATACTATCTAGCGGCAATCTTATAAGTATTCAGTGATAGCGAAGATTCTGCTTACTTGCACAGTTTTTGAGGACAATTTGACGTCAGACAACGCTACGCAAAGCTTGCACGATTTTTGACGACAATTTGTCGTTTGATAGCGCTACGTAAAAAAGCTTGCTTGGTTTTTGGCGAGAATTTTGTTAAACGACAGACGCAAATCTTGGTTTTTGATGACAATTTACTGCCCAGTGATATAAATACATTTGATCGTATTTTTCCACCAAATTGCTGTCAAATTATGTCAGCAGATTTTGTTATATATTTGCTACCATATTGTCGACATCTGATAAATTCTGTATTAAATTTATATCTTTCTTGCCAATAAAATTTGCAAGATTTTACAAGATATGTTTTTGACAGACTTGATTATCGGAACAGTTGCATATGTAAATTGTTAATTACATGGCTGTATCTAGAAAAAAAGCAGCTTTGCAACTGTTGTAAGTTGTAAGACTTTAATTTGATCGGTTTATACTATTTAGATCCGTGAAGGTTATAGACAAAAGTCAATCATATTCAAAAATCTTATACTAGTTGCAAAACTTTTTCCGCTATACGCAACCATTATAACAGTTGCAATGCAATAAGTAAAAACTAGGATTTGTTTGTCACTGCACTGTCTGCATTGATACTGTTCTTCGTAGACGGCAATAGCATTCAGAACGCCTAGCTACTATACACAACAAGTGAAAGAGCCGGCGCATGTGTACATCCAACTCAGAAGGCCATCGGATAGTGCTACGAGCAAACCGCTACCGTTTCAAATGTTACCACTAGATACAAGTATGCCTGCTTTCTGGGCTTTACGGAAAGAGTTTGCCATAAAGAAGGCAGATTACCTAAAGTAAAGTATCTTTAGTAAAATCTTCCACGAAAACTGCTTTTCTTGTCATAACGTATACAATATATATTATATTAATAACGTATACATTTTCCATAAATTGCGTACTGTATAATATAGTATGTAGCATATAATACGTATCAGAATATAATATACCTACATTTATAATAAGAACGCATTACAAATTCATTTACACAGAGTGTTCCATCTCTACCGCATTTCCTTTTAATAACGTGTTCCTGAGATAATTTTGAGTCGAAAATCCTAATACAAAAATGTCGAGGCTATAATACTTTTCAAATTATAAACGATTTAAGTTAACCAATATTGGCGGTTGAAATTTGCTCGCTTAGGCATGGCACCATCCAATGGCCCCTTTTTTAAATATCAATACACGAAACTAACTTCAAATAAGTTGTTATACATGTTTTTTATTTACATAGTAAAAAATATTTATAAAATTGTTATAAATAAATTCTTATATAAATGTATTTATATTTATAATCGATATAAAAAAATGAGTTACAAATTTATGGAGAAAAATTTATTTTACTGTATCTTAATAACAAAATTTATTATGTACTGAAATTAAGTATATTTCTTAAAAATTTAATATTTATACTATAGCTAAGATATTTTATTAAAACTTTAAATAACTTCAGATAACCCAAATTTTAGATAATTCTAAATTAGGAAATAAAACTTTTTAAATTTATTTAAAGACTCGACTTATTGAATTGATCGATATCGATGCAATATCAATATCGATGATTTTGATATTAATTCGATATCATATTAATTCAATATCATATTAATAGTAATTCGATGTAGATTTGTTTAATTGTTGCCTACAGAAATATTTTAGAAATTATGGCGGACCTCTGCCATAATTTGTAAAACATTTTTCATAAATATATGTTACAGAAGTGGATTTTTCAACATCGAAAAGTATTCAAAATTACGGACATGATTGAATCGAAATCAATGTGTAAATGATATAACTTTAATAAAATATTTTTGATATCAAATTGATATCGAAGAAGGTATCATTTTTCACTAGAGTGCTCTCTAAATTTTTTGGAGTGACTTTTCACTCTTTTGGAGTGAATCTCACTTCAAAAGAGTAAAAATCTTGCCACTCAAGTGGCCGAGTGACAGTATTTTCTATCTTTTGAAGTGAGATTCACTTCAGAAAATTTAGAGAGTGAGGCTCATTTATTCCCTCCACATGGTCGCAGCGTGTCGTGAATACATATATATTATACCCCATGGAATCCCAGAGCATCATCCAGTACTTGCCAGTAATACTAATAGCCAAAAATCACATCACAACAATTAGGCTCTGTAGGCTATATATACGTGAAAATTACGTTTTGTCTTCTCAGTTTCTTACCGATGCTGGTTCAAATATCTTTCATATATTACTCAAATGCGCGGCAATGTATATTATAGTGTACAAATTCAACTCAAGATATTAAAAGTGCATATTTATGAGAAAGAAAATACGCTGTTAACGGTCTAAAAAAATTCTTTGAGGATACGTAAGATATCGTGAAAGTTATCATTGCACATCAAAATTTGTACCTCAAGTTGCTCAGAAATTTGAGTATTCAAGTACAAGTACTTTTATTGCTGAAGTATAAATAGAGAAATTCAATTTACTTTTTGCAATTAAATGTAAAACCATATGGCCAATTGGTATACTCATAATTACATTTCAGCTGGACAAAATTCATTGTATTAAAGAT